TCTGTCCCCGCAGCCACTGTCCCCGCAGCCACTGTCCCCGCAGCCTCTGTCCCCGCAGCCACTGTCCTAGCTTCGCCCTGTGCCGGCTCCCAGCACACCCATCACTCCAGCACAGCCATTACTGCTGTCTCCCAGGAAAACTGGCCCGTTTCCAATGTAAGATGTATACAGGGCAATTCAAAGAGCTAGGTTCTGGGAAAAGAGCTGCAGAGTAAAAAATTCCACTTATTGATTCAACAAATGTTTACTCGCCCAGTGGGGCACGCGGTCAGTGAACTCGTCCGCCCTGGCACCTGAGAAGAGTTGATGTGGGCGTGACCCCGGGGAAAACACCTGCCGCCTGCCCTCAGCGTGGACTCAGAATGTGTCCAGTCAGCATTGCCCAGGCACGGCAGAGAGGGTGAGAGTTTCCCAGAGAAATATGCAGCCTCTTCATTTGGCCGGTTTCCTCCCAGAGGCACCAGAACCAGTCTCCCACGTTTTTGCTATAGGGCATGTGCGCTCACCAGACAGACAGACAGAGACAGAGAGACAGAAAGTGAGACATCACCCCCCAGGGGGTGGCCACGCTGCAATCCCTTCTCCTCCGTTCTCCTCTCGGGATCTTGGGCGTGCGTGCACACGCACCCAGAGCACTACTAAAATGGGTTGCCAAATTTTGACACATGGATTTGGGGAGACAGATGGAAACCATAGCATGTGGTAATAGCAATCCTTTAAAGTATTTGTACACACTGACTGGGAAGAAACAATATGATCTGCCCTTTCTGCTGTGGGTGAGGTCGCTGTGCCCCTCACGAGCTGGCCGGGCCGGATCTGTAGACTCCGTTGCACCAACTCTGTCATGAGCGAGGGCACACCGCCCACTTCAAACTCCAGGGCAGACTTTTTTTTTTGTATTTGTAGTGGTCTCTTTCTTAAATCATACCTGCTTGTTTTCCTGTTTTTTTTTTTTTTAATGTTATATAGTCTATATTTTATTTCCTCGATTTATTTTAAGAATGCTTGCATGTCTTTTTAAGCTCATTTATTTACTCATTTAGGGTAGTCTCGCTGTGTGGCGACCCTCGTGCCTAGGCTCCCAAACACCTGTGACCACAGGAGCAGTCCCCGTGCCTGCCTTTTAGCACAGCCGGAGCTAGAACCGGCCTCGCAGACGGCCCCAGCCTGCCGAGTGGCAGCACCCACCCGCCCAGGCGGTGGGCGCCGGCCCCCACCGGCCTGGGCGATGGCAGCCGGGCCTTGGCCGACGTCTTCATTAGGAATTCTGTTTGGGGAGCTCCTGTCCCGTCCAAGGACTGTCCCCAGTGGATCACGTCCCTGCGTTGCCATTTCGGATTTGAGCTCACGGTAACTGGCTTCATCTGCGGTGGTTCTGGGGGACCTGCGCCGGCCCCGTCAGCCTGGGCTCAGCCTCTCGGCTGGGAGTACGCTCGCAGGCGACACACAGTGCTCAAGCCCGTGCTCTGCTCTCCCTGACAGACCACGGGACGGAGTGGGAGAGGGCATGGAAACACGAGTTTATCATGGCGCAAAAGCTGAAATCCACATGGAGGCTTTGCGCCGTACACACCTCCCACGGGTTTCTGAGGACCTCGTCATTGTTACAAATTGTCCGAATTTGGGGGAAGCTCTTTATTGTCACATCAGAGCTGAGGACAACGCGGAGCCGCCCCGCCTCACCGCTGCAGTGGACTGCACTTCTCTAACAACCCCGGACCCTCTGGGGCTCCAGCTGTCTGCAGGACGCCCAGGTTGTCCCCTTCCTGGAAGGGGCCTGGGGCCTACACGGTGGCTTCACCTGCCAGGACCGGAGAGCTCAGGGTCTGCGCTGCTGGATCGGGGCCTTGTTGGCGACCCAGTCCCGCAGCGTCACAGCTGAGGCGCCCCCAGTGACCGGGCGCTGCCTGCAGCCCTGTAGCTGAAGGACGCCTCTGTGTTCTATCTGGGGTGCCCGGTGTTTCTAATGGGCGAGGTTTCAGGTCGTGGGAACCACGGGGGTCCTCCAGAGGAGGATTCAGCTAAGAGGGTGGCATTTTCACATTCGGGCGACAGGAATGC